TACAATTTTGTTGTTGACAATCTTTTCATTTAAAATCATTCATCCAAGTAAAATTATGTTTGAATTTCTAACATTTTGAAATTCAAAATTTTCAAGCGACCTCGGCTGGAGAAACGACCAACACTAAAGTTACTCGACGATGTGTACAACTTTGCGGTTGAAACCATTTTTATTTGAATTCGTTTAGGTCCTAAATACTCAATTTAGAATCAGGCAGAGTGAATGCGAGGGAAATATTTATGTCTTACAAATGACTTTTTTGCTATTTTAGGTTTGATTGATTTCTTAAAAATGATACATAGGAGTCGCCTTTAGAAAAATCTATTTCTTCTGGTTGGGTTTCTGTTTCCGGCCGTTCCTATAAATCAATTTGTAGAGACATCTATCTATTGTAAATTGTTTATTTCGTAGAGACGGGTGAACAGTAGTGTATTTTGCAGGACCATTTTATATATTGCATCTGTAATCATCGTGGCAAGTAGCAGTATCAGCCAAGAACGAAGCTACTGTGGCAATAATGATCCTGCATATATATAGTATATATGCATGACCCAAAACACAAAGCCATGATTGCAACAAGCCCTCGGCCGATAATTTCGTGTCGCAATGATGGCCCGAATTATAGAGGCGGCAGGTAGCTGATAACTTGGAGATGGAATTATTGAAAGTAAATAATAAGATCTGTTCGTTTCTTTTATAATCCGTATTTTTTATTTTATTTTTTTAAGTAACAAATCAGTCGGAAACAGTATTTCGCCCGTCCTTAATTGCATCGCTTCTCAAGTGTGTCCGGCCGGGCCGCCGGTCTGTGATGTGATTGAGTTGCAGCTGCCGTAGTGATTAGCCTCTCGTACCGCTAGGACTAGCAGGTGCAGGGTCGTCTCACCACCTCCAGAGGCGGAAAAGGCGCCGCCGCGCGAGGGGGCTCCAGCCTCCAGGCCCGTACAAACACAGCACATGTTGCGGCCGGCTGGCCGGCCGGCGTTACGAGCGACGGTGACCGGCCGCCGGGGTCGACCTCCGGACATCAGCCATTCTTCAGACACAAGCCATCAGACATTCGTACGATTACGAACCGGGGTCAACCTCCTCCAGCTCTATGCTCATCTGCTGCTGCTGCGTGGAATCAGAATTTGGACCAAGAGATCGGGCCGTGTGACTAACGAAGAATCTATTTTTTCCTTTCCTTTTCTCGCTCTCATGTGGCTCGATCTACGCATAGCTGCTTCTTGATGCTGCTTACGTGGATGGGTCATCGCATTAAGTGCTCCAAACACGTTAGCTAAGCCAGACAGCCACAGGTTAGGCAATGTCACGATCTATCGTCCAGATATTTTTCTCTCACATGCACACCGAAAAAGCGGTTTTTAAGAAAAAAATATCACCGACTTTAATACCTTATAAGCTAGAGCAAAAACAACTAATGCCCTCGTTCCGTCCACATATACGAATAAGTACAAAAACACGTACCCGATGGAGACGGAGACTTGCTGCGCTCTTTTACTCCTTTTGTTTATTTTCTACTCCGCGTGGATTTAAATTTCCATCTATGTAGTTTTGTTATGCTCAACAAAAGGGAATTGGTATGGCTAGCGCTCGGACGTCCGGACCAGTCGTCCACGTAACCCACCCCCGTCAGCCTTTGTCCCGTCCCACGCGCGAACCCTGCCCCCCCCCACCCCCACCCCCACCCCGTCTCTACGCCCGCCGGTCCTTCCCCTGATTCCCTCTCTCTCTCTCTCTCTGCAGTGGCACTCAAGAGCCGGGATGAGTGACTGAGGACAAGCACGCCCCCAGTGCGACCTGACCGCAGCACCCCCGTCCGTCGGCCCCCCGGCGCGTCGCGCGCCCCGTCCGCCGCCCTCCGGTTCGTCCCTGGCCAAACAACATAAAACACTTACAACATGAAAAAAACATTTGAAATGCACAATACGTCTAGAAACAGATAAAACATTTGGAACATACACTTGCAACATGTGTGTGAAACACATGAAACATCCAAATAAAACACTTCCAACATGAAACCACTTGCTGCAACGTAAGACTAAAACAGCTGAAAGCAACATATGAGTGAAACATATGCAACATCTAGATAAAAAAACTATTGCAACATACGTCTGGAAACAAGATAAAATATTTTGAACAAACACTTGCAACATATGCAATATGTGCAACATCCCCCGATATACTTTTGCAACATCAAGATAAAACAATTGTAACATACATCTAAAACGTCTGAAACGCTTGAAACATACGTATGCAACGTAGGGGAGGGGAAGGCCGGGGCCGATCGATTCCGGCAGTCGAGGTGGCGCGCGAGCACCACCAGCACCGGTCTTGCTCGTGGGGTGCCCTTGGCTCGACCGAGGAAGACGGGAGGCGCCACGGCACATGCGCCCCAACGGCCTTGGCGGGTTCAGCGGCGCGTGCGACGGCGATGGGGACGGACGGCGAGGGAGCGAGCAGCGTCGGTGACTGGGACGAGGCGCGCGTAGCCGACGATGGTGTGCGGCATGGTGGGGGGAAGGGCATGGCAAGGCAGCCAACGAGCGCGTTGTGGTGGAAGGGGGCGGATGAGCGGAGTGGAGTTTTTTTTTGAGAGAGAATGGGGGCCAGTCTTGCGCAAGCGGCAGGTCTGGGAGCCGTGTCCGGATGGGATTGACGGCACGGACGCCCGTGGCATATCATTATCGAAAGGGAATACGTTCAAAACATGCAAGGCTTTTTATTTGATATATATGGTATAATATTAGAGGTTTCTTAATTAAATACACGCCGATTCCCCCTTTGCTCGTTCACCGACTGACCGACCGATGTTGTTATAGTTTTTGCTGTAGTGTCACCCAACTAGTTACACATGGCATGGGGAAATTATATACGTACAGGCATGAAGAAGTGTGCCAAAACTGCCAAAGCTTGCTTCAGTTACAGAAACATGTACGAGAAGGGCGGCATCCAAAGTTTAGAAAAATGGAGGGCCAATCTCGATGATGACCGCGCCAAACTCTAGGAAGACTCTTTGGCAAGTTTACCAAGGACAACAGAAAATCACCTGCAAGACTACATAGGTGTAGGATAACTACATCAGTAGGTCTACTAAAAGTTCGTTTAGCCATATATGCATGATGATATGCCGCTTAATTTCCTAGCTAATGAGAGTATATAGGCACAGCCCAGTGGGCCTGTAACGCTCTAGTAATTAACCGTGTTCTTAATAAGTCTTCTTATTTGATTCTCAAAAAAAAAGTCTTCTCATTAGTTTTTTCCCCAATTCCTTTATGATTGAGAAAGAAGATGTTTGAAAGGTACTATTGTAATGCAGCTTCAGCTTGTCAGTTTATGAGAGGAGAGGATCATGTGGCATAGTGGTTATTGTGTATACCTTGACCTAGTTATTTCGCTTGTTAATTAAATGGTGTTTAATCACGCAACGATATATAATAATTTCTCAGTTCCATTTTCTTAGAAAATGGAAGTTGGATAAGAGTATTTGGAATCGAAGGATTAGTATGTATAGATATGTTGAGAAGAGGCAGGTGATGGTCGGTTGCCGTACCTGTACTCGTACACGACCACCAACGAGCGGCAGCGGCTGATGATACTACGAGGACCAAAAGGGTGCATGCTGCATGCAGTTGCAGATGTAGCCGTGCAGGCAGTTGAGCGGATTGTTGATCCACCGGTCGCCGGATCAATTAACACCGCCGCAAGAGCTAACCGTACCGCCCGTGGATTTTCGTGTGTACGTGCTGGCATAAATATGATGGTTCTACTCCGATCCACTGCAGGATCGACTGCTAATACAATCAAAGGAACAGGCATGCATGTGTCATCATTTCACATGTAACAATCATATAAGTTTTGCATGATGGCTGATGGTGCAGTTATCTCGCTATTGTGCAATTGAATAGTGAAAACGATCGCATCAGCTGAAACAGATTACAGCAGGAAACTATACAGCAAAAAACAGTGCTAATTTGCAGAATGGTCAGAACTTGGCACTGCAATATTCCGTGCCGCAAATGAAACCTGAATCCTGATGGCGGATGCATGGTTGTTTCCACTTTCCGGTGACTCTGGAATCCCAGTCCCAGGCTCCAGCTTCACACAAAAATCCGCCGGGCAACAAACACTACACGATTTTGGAGTTACAGCCAGCCTGAAAACCAAATCTGTTGCCGGTTCCTCAATTTCGCTTGTAATCATTTCATCAGACTCTAAAGTCTAAACTGTGACGGGGAATCATCTGCTCTACACAGCGTGTTTGGATTGTGGAAGGATCAGGTCCGGCACCAACTCATGCTGCATGGAACCAATCCAGCAGGTTCGGATGATGACCGGCAGTCGGCGGACGGTGTCGTCCGGCTGTTTTCAGCAGAACGAGACGCTGACGACTTTGTACTGGTGGAGGGCTGACCCCGTGACGGACGGAGTGGATGGCTCCACCAAACCAAACGAGCTGTAGGTTCGGATCGTTCTGACCAATCGGCTCGTTTGGATTAAGTTATCAGTCATTTTGGTTTTATCTTAAATTAAATATTTTTATTTATAACTAAGTTTACAGAGAATGCACAAACATTTGCAACGTTAAGCAAGATTCACAGGATAAAAAATATTTTGATAGAACATTTAATTGATATATTGTAGATTTTAATGTATTTTATGAGCTGTTAAAATTAGAGAAATTTGATTTTCGATAAGAAAATATTTTTTTAGCAGAAGATAAAACTACCCTCCGTGGTGCTACTCAGCCCGCATAATTTAGAATGGCAATTTGCAGTTGCTGGCCCATTATTTTTATTTTGAAAAAAACAACAACTTAACGGGTTTCTGTGGCCCAAATCCACCGTGGTGCTACTCAGCCCACACGGCCGCGCCCGGTCACATCTTGTCCGCAACGGCTACTTTTCCCCCCGATCCCCTCCCCTTCCATTTGAATACCCCAGCAGGCGACCCTCCTCGCCTCCCCGACCAGCCTCCATCGCCTCTCCCACCGCGCCATGGCCGCCGCCTCTCCTCCCGCCTCCTCATCTCCCCCTCCTCCCAGCGCAGCCGACGGCGACGGGGATAGGGTTGGGTGCGGCGCCGCCCGCTGCTCCTCGCCCACGCCCGCGCAACACAGGAGGACCTCCCCCAACCGCAGCGGCGGGAGCGCCCGCAAGGTTCGCTCGCCCCATCCATCTTGTTTTGTACCTAACGCTTTGGGGATTTCGCCCTGTTTGGATCGTCGGGTTCTCGGCTCGGGGCTTCGCGCGGTTGTTGTCGGATTAATCGGGGTCACTGCTTGGCCTTGGCGTGAGAGTGGCGGCTCTGGTTTCGGCTGCTGGAATTGGATCTGCGATGCTGGGTTGGAGTGATGCAATCATCCGATTTGTTTTGTCCAAATCCATCCAGTTTCTGTGCAATTATTTCGTCTCGGTACAATTCCTAGTTGCTCGAGATCGCTAGAGTCAAATGTTTGATCAAAACCCTATTTCTGTTCTTCTAGCCGTCTTCCTTGTTGATCTCGGTGATCTCGTATCCATTTATGCAGGAACGCCTGCAGCTTACAACCCGATGGATCAGTTAGATTACAAATGATTTGATGTGCTATTTATACAGACCATTTTTAGTCCTTTAGCCCTTAACTTCGTAAGATAAGATTTCCTGTGGCATGTTAACTGATATCGTCATGTGGTTTGGACTTTGTACCAAGACTAATTTTGAGATGATCAAATACGGGTCGGTGTGAATGCACGCTTCTTTTAATCTTGAATTCAAGTTCATGTTCATGCACAAAAGATTATGTGAGCCATATGCCCATGTGTCTGTATCAGTTACGTGGTTGCAACCACTGATGTTTTTCTCATCTCATCTCAAAAGTTACGTGGTTGCCTTGTTACTGTCCAATTCCTTAGCCTCAAACGTGGTTACAGCATTTGGACATGGAGCTTCATATAGGTTAGACCAATATATCTCCAGAAATGGCAGTGTGCTATTTTAGTTCCTTTTTTTCTTAAAAAATAAGTAGTTGCCAACCAATATAATAGATAAAATTTGTGACACAACCATAAAAAAAGTGTTTCTATTATTGGAGTAAGCATTTGCTGCCAGAAAGTACTATTACTAACTTTGAAGGTGTATTTTTTTTCCTTGTTTCGTGTGAGATACTGAGATGTACCATCATATACTACAATTCATAATTATCACATTGTGAGCTGATTAATTATTCTGTCTGTTCACCTCTAACCGATGACTCATTCAACTTATAGCCTACAGAAAGTCAGTAGAATAAAACTTCTGTTCTAATTTCAAATATTTCCATTGTAACCTTATGATTGTTAAAAGGGTAACACATATTTCTGCATTTGGTTCATGCAGAGTCCAGGGTCAAGAGATTTTGGAGGAGGTTCAGTTCTAAAATCTGTGAATAAGTCAACATTGCACTTCAAGAAATCTAGGAACCGCAGAAGTGGTTCCCCTAACAACTGGACCCCTCGGAAGAAGACTGAATCGTACATGAAGAGAAAGATCAAGCATCTTCAGGTACTTGATGAATTATGTGATGCTTCTCACAGGTCAAGTACATGAGTATGGATTTTCAATATTTTTCTAGTGCCTTTTATTGCATTGCAAGATTACAAAAAGTGCAATTTAAATTCTTTTGCTATTTGAATATTCTTTGTCCAGAGATAAGGCAAAAGAAAAAGGAACAGGAAAACCAAATTTTAAAAACTTTTAATAGTATGAAAAATAAAAGCTCTGCCTTTCTGTCATGTGTAGGAAGCTGATGGAATGACTGCGTCCCTCCATGAGACTCTAGGAAATGCAAATCCTCACTATACTAGGATGGCAAGGGAGAAGATTGCAGCGAGAGAGGCAGCCAGAAAGGCAACAGATGCTCGCAAAGCTGCTATGGTTGAAGCTTCATGGTGCAGAATTCTTCGAGCAGCCAGGTGAGATTACTGCCTCACTCTTTTAGTGTCTTTGCTGGACCTTGATGCATTCATTCTTTAATCATGTTGATTATTCTTGATCCATTATTTTATTTTATTTTATTTTACTACAGGATCCAAAATAAAAATGCTGAAGAAGTTATGGAGAAGGCCATGCTACATGCGGCTGAAGCATTTGAGGAAGCTCGAGCAATGGGTGTGATGATGTATGACAGACCTGACTGTCCACATCAGCAGTATGAGGTGGAATCATCGTTGCATACTGGAGCACAATCAACCCATAAAGTTACCGCATCATTTCAGACAGCTTTTCAGGTTGATATGGAGGTTTCTGCTGCAGTCAAAAAGGCATTTGTTCAACTCGCAAACTCTCCAGATTCAGCAAAGAGAGAAGAGTTTAAGGAGCTATTATGGAAAATCAGCCAAAATCCTGATTTGACAGAGACTGGTGAGAATTCTGAAGATAAACAGCAGCTGGTTGACTGTAGCAATGAAGATACAAGTGTGTTGAAACTCAATAAAGAAAACATCAGCAGCAGCTGTGTTTCTTCTGATTTCAATACCACAAAAGTTCAAGAATCCATAGATGTTGTTAACATTATGCTTGAAAGGCTAAAAGCTCTTCATGAAGAAGAGCTTGCCTCCTTAGCAGTCATTGTAGCTACATCTGGCCTTAATGCTGCACTTCAGAATGAAAGAAGCAAATATCATGAAACAGGCGCTGAGAACAACATTGGTGCTGGGTCACTCAGATCACAAGCAAGGAGGTATTCTACTGCAGCGAGTTTTATTGGTGTCCAAGGACCAAAGAAAGAAGTCACTTCTGAGTTACCAAGTCTGGATAAGTTCTTGGTGAAGCATCTTTCAAAACTTGAAAGAGAAGTTCAGGAAGCAAGAGAAGCAAGCAGAAAATCCACTTCAGTAAAGTCTGTCACACAAGGTGCCCACAGCCAATTTACAGGCAGCAATGCAAAGGCGCCAGAATCAACTTCAGACCTCAGCAGCATTCTGGTGAAGCATGTGTCTAAGCTCGAGAAGGAGATCCTGGAAGCAAAGAAGATCAACCAAAGAATTCACCAGGTGGAAGGAAGTTGCGAGGATGTCAAATCAAATGACAAACAATTGGAATTTAACAAGATTCAACCAGAAGCTGAAAATAACTGTGATTTAAAGGGAAGCTGTGAATCCAAGGGATCCTGTAAAGACAGCAATCACATAAAAGATAATTATGATTGTGTGCAAGAAGACAAAGAGAACAAAAATTGGTATTCACGTCAGCTACCACCCTCTGGTGCAAAGGACAAACAGGGTGGCAAGAGGTTAACTCGAGTTGAAGCTGCTAGGCTGGAAGCACTTAAATCATTTTGTACTATAGATGGCAACACATTAGATGCTGGCCTGGACAAGATCTTCATTAAGCCAATCCATAGATTGGAGAAGGAAAAGAGGGAAGCACGTGAAGGACAAATCAATGTGCAGAAACATCCACAGAAGCTTGGTCAAAGTGCAACAGTGACAGAGGGCTTAGATGACATCTTAGTGAAGCATGTCTCAAGGCTGGAAAGAGAAAAGATTGACTACCAAAAAAAGAAGGATGCACTGGGAGAAGGATGGACCAATGTGCAGAAACATCCCCAGAAGCTTGGTCAAAGCACAACTGTGACAGAGGGCTTAGATGATATCTTAGTGAAGCATGTATCAAGGCTGGAAAGAGAAAAGATTGATTACCAAAAGAGGAATGCACTGGGAGAAGGATGGACCAATGTGCCACACGATCAGCGGACGAATGATAACAATGGCAAATCATCTGATAGTTTGGATCAAGTCTTAGTGAAGCATGTAAGTCGACTGGAAAGGGAAAAGTTGGAATATGAAAAGAGGAATGCACTAGAAGGAGGAACAAGTGTGCAGGATAACAGGGAAATACACTGTAGCAATGCTGCAGCCTCTGATAGTTTAGATCAAATCTTAGTGAAACATGTCTCCAGACTTGAAAAGGAGAAGATAGAGCATGAAAAGGATGGTGGTATGATCCTGCTAAAGAAGAGTCAGACACAATGTACAAATGAAGCTGCAGGAAGCCTGGCTGACATCTTTGTCAAGCGTCCAACCAAGCTTGAGAAGGCGAAACTGGCTTCTGCTGCCGAGGAAAAACCAGCTAGTGGCTTGAACCCTGTCGAAGAGCGTAGAAGAGCTAGACAGAAGGAGCTTCTGGATGCGTGGGGAGGAATGGGTCTGGGGAACTCGATGAAGCCCCATGTATCAAAGATTGAGAGGGATAAGGTAATTCTGTTGAACCAAGCACATCCTATGAAATGTGTTAAAGAAACATCCTGCTTGCAGGCTGATATCTAATCTAAAATGTTTCAACTACTTTCCAGGCTGCTTGGAGGATAGCCGAGGATGAACAGAAGCAGATGACTGCTGCAAGGGAGCCGTGACTTCAGTGAACCTGGACAAATATCTGATGCATTGTGCTCCAGCTTGAAGGAAAATGCATCCTCTGAAGTCTGAACTCTTAAGACAACTGACGGTTGTTTGGGAGGATCAGATGTCCAGGGCGTCATGACCTGTACTAGTGCCACAAAGCGTGACACTGTCAACAGGTTACTAGATCGTATCCCCCTTAATATTTGTTGTTGCCTCTGGTGCAATCTCCTTTGCTTGTTGCTCCCTTGTAATTACGTATTACTCCAATTGTCTAGCATATAACTGGGAGCAAGTTCAAGTGAAATTAACTCTTTTGGAGATGACGACCAAAGTCCAAAAAGGCCTAATGCAGTTTCCTAGCTGCAGTTACTAGCTGCTGCGGCTTATATTTTTTATATAGATGCTGTTTTTTCTTTGTGAATACCCGGCGTAGATTCTGCGCACACATGCGACATTTCTGGTTCCTCTTGCATTTCGTCATGATGGATGAACAACGCGCAAAATGGCCAAATGAATATTTTCGCGTTGTCCATTTGGCCTCGGGGCAGCTTTGCCATGATAATAGTTTGAATACAACTTTGGTGCATTCTATTTCTCCTATAGCTTCTATGGAACTTTGAACTGCAGCTGTTACTTGTCCTTCAGTTGGCATTTTTGCATGCATGCTCTGCTCTTTGCTTCTTCTGTGAAAGTTAGGTGAAAAGTTGGATCATCAGAAAGAGAAACAGGGGGTGGACCTAGCTAGTAGTAATGATACCTGGTGCCATGTCGCCCCGAGAGGTTACAGAGTAGTGGGGACTGGGGAGAATGTTTATTGAGAGAACTTTTACTGAATGAGTACAGTACTAACCTTAGATACCAGTACTATTGTCATAAGGAGCAGCTGTGAAATTAATCTGCTCATTTCGCAAGCTGCAGTAGGTTATGCAAAATCTGCTGTTTTTTTACTGAATTGTTAATTTGTTTTTTAAGGGAACTGGAGGATGAATTGTTAATTTGTTATGCGGTTACTTCTTGATGTTGTAAAGCGTCTTTTCTGCCACTGTCGCTTTGGCATGCGCTCACATGTAAATCATGAACATCAAGAGTGATCATCAACACTACTCAAAGTTAACATGCAAGTAGTCGTTAAATCGGCAATTGGTCAAGCGAGATAGTCGTTAAACCGGCAATTTGTCAATTTGGCATGCGCTCACATGTAAATCATGTTAATGCCGGCTGCCTGACATGCATGTACCTGCATGGCTGCATCGCATCCTCTTCTCATAATAGTCTCATATAACCAACAACGCAAACATGGAATCCTAGAACGATGGCCAAACGCATTGACCACCTCACGCCATCTCGAGGCTGACGCACTGCACGAGCCACGGTGACCGCGGTGGCGGCTTCACCTTCGGCACCGTCGTCGCTTCCTGGAGACGGAACACCGGCGTCATTGCCCTCTGAATCTGATATGGTGCTGATCCGCCGGTGTCCGTCGACGACTCCGACGCCGTCAGGCTCCCGCTCCCCCCGGAGATGTTCGACTCCGAGGCCAAGGGGGTAGCGGTGCCCGTTCTCTCAGGCTCATCCCGCTGCCTCCTCTGGCACCGGCCGCCACTAGTGCCGATGGCTAGCGTCAGCTCCAGCCCGTCCTCCGCTGACGGTGGCGTGACGACGACGCACTCGTCGGCGGGGAGGGGCAGGTGCAGGTCCAGCGCGCGCCGCGGCTGCCTGCGCCGCCTTTTCTGGCGCCGGCAGCTGAGCTCCGACGACGGCCTGGACAGGCCGCCCATCAGCTGCTTCTGGACGTGGTACAACCGGTGTAATTCATGGACCTGTTGCGCAGATTGAAGAAATGGCATAACAGCTCAGACTTCAGAGTAGCTGGGTTCCTGAATTCAGGTGTCTTGCGTTAAGAGTGGTGTGGTACGGTACCTGCTGCCTGAAGGTCTCTTCGTGCCTGCGCATGGCCATCTTCAGGAGCTCCATGTCCCAGTGACTCGCAAGCTTATTCTCCATCTGCACCGTCCTCTGTTCTTAATTGACTACCGGTCCTTGCTCTCAGTTGAGACTAGTAACCAGTTGGATATCCGGCCTGCAGCCAGAATTGAAGGTGCAAGATGCAGAGATCAGTGATCAGTAAAATGGAAGCTTAGTTTCAGTTCAGTTGCTGGAAAGAAGCTGTGTTTACAGGAGCGACGATCCATGTATGGGTACAGCTGATTTATTTGGAAAAACAAGCAATCAGCTCATAATAAACAGCAAGCAAATCAAGAGATGCCAACAAGACAATAACAAGGACATTATCAATATGCGCTCTACTCTAATCATACAAGTAATGAAGAAACTAATGCTACCTCACTCATAAATCATAATGATGCGTGATTACATTACATAGCACTGAAACTAGCCTCTGCATCACACACACGCATACAGAGGCAACTGACTGACCTGATCCTGGTATATATCCACAAGGTCAAAAGATGCTTGTTGTCCTCTACCTTGCTCTCTCCTTTGTCTCCTTCTTCGGTGTAGTGGTAGATTACTAGATTAGATTCTTCTTCAGCCAGTGACCATAGATGGTGCTTGAATCCAGCACGCATGCAGCATGAGACAGAGAAAGCAAAGGTGATCGTCTCAGATGCTGCAGCCAGTCCACTACTGGGGAGTGAGTGAGTGAGTGGAAGGGAGGGAGGGGAGGCGGTGTTTATATAACCTAAAACTAGGCCACCATCTCAAATTCACAATTCTCAGCTGCAGAAAATGCAATGATGCTTGGAGAGAATATTTGGGCTGGCCCTGGCCCTTTAATCTCGGTTCGGCATGCCGAACAAGAACAGTGGCATGATCCTTTGCAATGCATGAGCTGCCCCTCCCGGAGCAGACATATTGGCAGGAGCCTAGTAGTTTAGCCGCTGGCTGGGCCCCCACGCTATGTGGGCCCCACATGGCCAGAGGCAGGGCCAGGCCAGGCCAGTACCGGTGCCGTCTGTGCGGGCATGCAACGGCAACGCAGTGCATGCACTGACAGTGCTTGTGTCCATACATGTGGACCCCAATCCGGCTCCAATGGTTAGTGATCGCTATTTGCCCCTCCGGCTCTCGTTGAGGAGAGGTGCTAATTATTGGATTTTCTGTTCTTCATCCATGAAGATAAGCGACGACCAAATCTTACCATACAACTAACGGTGTTTATTATTCAAAAAAAAAAACTAACGGTGTTTATCGGGAATGAAGCAATCTAGTGTTGACACGCAAAGTTGCCTATGCAATAATTCTAGAAGAGAGAGAGAGATAGGGGTCAAGGGAGCAGCAAGTTTGGGTCCATGCATATAATAGTTTCGATCATGAGAATGAGACATGACGACATGAGCACATATGAGCATCTTTCTTAGGTGGTGTTTAGTTGGGTGAATTTTGGATTTTGGCCTATTGTAGCACTTTTGTTTTTATTTGACAATTAGTGTTCAATCATGGTCTAATTAGGCTCAAAACGTTCGTCTCGCGATTTCCAACCAAACTGTGTAATTAATTTTTTTTCGTCTACATTTAATGCTCCATGCACGTATCGTAAGATTCGATGTGATGGGTACTGTAGCACTTTTTTGAATTTGGCCTGGCAACTAAACACGAGCTTAACACCTTATAAAGTATATGTTGAGGTTGGTTGAGCCCTTGTTTAGTTCCACCCCAACTTTCAAAAATTTGCTACAGTACCTGTCACATCAAATGTTTGCGGCCCGTGCATGGAGCATTAAATGTAGACGAAAAGAAAAACTAACTGCACAGTTTGGTGAGAAATTGCGAGACGAACGTTTTGAGCCTAATTAGTCCATGTTTAAACACTATTTACCAAATAAAAACGAACGTGCTACAGTAGCCCTAAAATCCAAATTCCTACAACTAAACACGGCCTGAAGGATGAAATGAAACTCAAATCAAAATAAGTGACCGTTGAGAATTGCCTTGCCTCGCGAAGCACTTGCTAGCAACAATTCATTTGGCCGCAGCAGAGCAGCGTTGAATACGGTGCTAGCAGATTTATTATTAGCATGTATAGCCATAATAAGGGATGTGCAACTCTATCAAGGCCTCGTTCGCGTGCCCTTAAACCCGTCTTGATCCGCTTCTTTTTTTTATCCGGAAGAATGTTTTCCTTTTTCAAATTCTTTCAAATTTATTCAGATTGCTCCAAAATTCATCAAACGAACGGAGCCCAAGTTACTGTCCTCGCTCCTTTTCTCCTTTTCTACAGAACTGACAACATTAACGATGATCACGTGCCTTGGCTGCCTTTTTGAATCATGCATGCATGTGTGGCGGCGAAGGCGATGGCATGTGTCTGCTTTTCACCGTTGGACCAGACCATGCGCAGGCCAGGCCCCTACCACTAGTCCACTGCCAGTACCAACAGTGTCTCTGCATCCGCTGACCAAAACATTGTCAGACACGTACTCCTACTTGGCTAGTACATACTCGTAATATACTGCACGCTACGGAGTAGTTTGCAGTAGTACACTGCTTTGAGCATAAGCTCTGCGTTTAGGATTATTTGGCTTATAAGTCGTATTTTTTCAGCCAATGAATAATATTTTTCTCTCAAATCAAATTAGCCAACAATACTTTTAGTCATGGCTTATCAGCCAAACAAGCTCAAACGAAATGGGACGAGGATTACTCTACCACGCCACACACTCGGTAAGTACTTATATTGACAGAAGTGACTGAACGTTTAGAAGCATCGTCGTTGATCATACTATAGAAACTTGAAACGCATGGAATTGATCTAGAGGAGCGATAAAAAAATGTAAAGAAGAGATCGGTGAGCATGATCGAGTTGGACCGGAGGGGCAGGCAGCTGCAGAAACTGAGATAAAATGCACTTTTCTGTCACTGAAAAAAGCAAGCTAAGGCCTTGTTTAGATTCCAAATTTTTCATTCTCTCTCCAACATCAAATCGCATGAGTAGTAAATATAAATAAAAAACAACTAATTACGGGTTTGATTGTAAATTACGAATCTTTTGCCTAGTTAAACTATAATTGGACAATAATTATTAAATCGTCCATCGATTTCAACCGGCCTAAACCGGCCGTCGGGTGGCGGATCGTCCATCGATTTGACCGGAACCGGAAGACACGGAGATCGACGCCAAGGTGCGTGCATGTATATGTACGTGGCTGTGTATCTGCGGACGCACGACACGGAGGAGGGAGGACGATGCACATTGCAAATGTGCAAGGTAGCAAAGCTGTGCTCGTCCTAGGGCTTGGGCGAGCTGCACGCATGATGATTTTTGCAGGCTACATCCATTTTCTCTCCATCCCTTTTCAAGTGTTATTCTCGATTCAAACATATTCAACTTAAACCAAATAACTCCATCTCTAAATAATTATCCTTTTCGCTTCTCGATAAACAACTTTGACTATGGTATAAAATTAATATCATTAGATAGATCGTTGAATCTATTTTCATAATAAATTTATTTAAAATACAAATATTGCACGTATTTTCTATAAATACAATCAAACTTATGGCACGATAATCAAAAAGCAGCAGGTTATTTAGGGACGAAGGAAGTATGCAAAAAATATTAATATGATACATAATTAGTACCATTAGATAGATCTTTGAATCTATTTTCATAATAAACTTATTTAGATATTCAAATATTGCTAATACTTTCTACAAACCAAGTTTGACTAACACAAATACTACAACAACACTTTAAAAGGGACAGAAGGAGTATGGTATTTTTTTTAGATAAAGGAACAAATGTATTCCGGTCTCCCACATTCATAATCGAATGGGTACAACCAAACTGAACCATTACAAGACCATGGTCTAACACCATAAGACTGCTAAGCAGCCTCGCCCCAGCTCCAAACTATTGATAACCAAACAACCCTTGCCTTGACTAAACACAACCCAAAAGATACAGCCAAACCACATACTGGTAAACAGCTAAACCCCAACTCCCACTGTAGCTAAACCGGCAACACTCGTAGTGTCCAGTCACAGGCAGTATACAGAAAAAACGAAGCTAGTTCTCTAACTGTTTTGTTGCTTCGACACAGAACTTCTGAAGATTTGCAACCATCATTTCCAACTCCATGCATCCAAACTTCATAGCTTTCCTCTCTTCCTTTTTTGATAGCTGTAATCTTCCAGTACACCTCCCTAAGGATTACTGTTTTATTCTCTTTTGATTTCTCCACCCACTGGATCCAAAAAAATGCAGTGACAAGCCTTCTAGATACCTGCAGCCCTCCTTCATCTTTCTTCTCTCTTCCTCTTTAGACAACATGGACCATTGTCTGATCCAAAAAGTCCCCCTGAAAAGTACCTGCAAGCAAGAATTAGTAACTCGATTTTGGAATACTGCCTCATTTCTATTCAACCATATTACCCAACACATGGCTGCAATCCCCACTATTATTTGATTTCTTAGTCTAGGAGCAAATCTCCTTATCCAAGATCCGAACATGTGAGTAATGCTTTTAGGTGGTTGAAAGTTAAAGGTGATGAACAATGTATTCCAAACCGATCTAGCTATTCGGCAGTCAAAGAAAAGATGTTGGATATTTTCTTCTAACCCACAGAAGGTACACTTAGTATCTCCTTTCCATCTCTTAACCAAGTTATCCTTTGTTAAAATCACCCCTTTCTTTAAATACCAAAGGAAGACTTTAATTTTCAAGGGTAATTTAGCTTTCCAGAACACGTTATTCTCTAAAATCCTCTCTCTTTTCATTAGCTCCCTATATGGTGACTGTGTGGAGAAAACTCCATTCTTTTTTATTTGCCAAATGAAGCTATCCTTATCATTATTTAGGTTTACTATAAGAACTAAAGAGACTAGCTTTAACCACTCATTTAGTCTGTCACCCCCTAATCCCCGCCTAAATGAGACATTCAGCGGTGTTGAGTTTAAAACACTAGCTACTGATACCCCTTTTTTCCTTACAATTATGTACAGTTCTGGAAACCTTCGTCTTAACGGTTGTTGATCAATCCAC